TGCGTAGGCACCGACGGCATTTAAACTCAATCGTCAAAGCCCCCGATTTGACCATTCGTGTTGACTTTTACTTTCCATATCAACTTGGTGGGGTTTCAAATACCCCTACACTGTTCTCCTGCCCTTCTCAACACATATCAGACGTCAAAAATTGACCCGCGAGATTTTTATTTTGTCAAAAATTGCGATGGCTTCTAGTTCTGCTGCCTTGTTTCCTGGTGTAGACCTCTGTTCTATCCCCGTGAGCGCTCCTCCGGAAGGCCAGGTTAGCAATTTTGGGCATCCAGACGCATCATTAAGAGCTGTGTTCATAATTGTCACAGTCATCATAACTGTGTTCGCCACTATCTTTGCTTGTGGTAGACTATGGGGTAATATTGACAGGCGAAGATGGAGTGACTGTAATTCTCTATCTTTGGAATACTATACCAAAGCATTACCCAGAGGGTGGCTAATGTTGAAGCTCTACTTAGATATGGTCCTCGTTGCCACCCTCGCCGCGATAACTCAATCAGTATTGCTCATAAAATGTAAGTACGACAAACATGGTTCCTAATCCAAGCCTGGATTCTAAAGGGGTCTAGTCATTAAACCTTATCACCACTCATGGGACGTGCCGCTTTGTTTGTTCAACGCACAATACTTCCAGGTACGATATAATTCGGAAATAATGAACTCTTTACCATGCTGATATAGCAGTAGGTCATGCTTGTAAACACGGTCTTGTCTAGCTCGGGTATGCTCTTGGCTAAGACTGCAACCTTGCTTTTGTACCATGAAATTTTCAAAGTCTCAAGGAAACTTCGTCTCGCCATTCGATTGGGAATTGCAATCAATGTTGCTTTTTGCGCAATCTGCCCCCCAATCTTGTTATTATACATGACCCCCCACGCCGGGCAGACTTGGGATGAGTTCGCAACCTATGCGCACTCGGACAGATACGCACTTGTGATCAAGTTGAGCGTGGCCGCCGCCATAGTTGCATTCGCTATCGATGTTTATATCTTCGTACTTCCTATCCCCACCATCCTCGCACTGAATCTGCCTATGCGAAAGCGGATTCAAGTCATTGCAGTCTTCTTCACTGCTATCCTGTAAGATCTTCCTGTTCCTCATGTGCTGTTACTGCTATAGATAGGAAGAGTTCTGATAGTACGGTTTAGGGGTGTTTGTGCCAGTGTTTTATCTCTTGTCTATAGAGTGAAATCACTTTCAAGCATTGACGAAACATGGCTCACAGGGACCCCTTTACTGTGCAAGTAAGTAGTGATCACTGCCGAGCTATATATAATAAGCAAACTATTGACAGGCGATCTACCACTTTCAGTCAAGTTGAATTATGCGCAGCCATAAGTGTTTGTTCAATGCCAGGATTTACCAAGTTCTTCCGGGTCAATATTTCCAACTCGACTTTAGGCTCCAAACTCAGATTTATTGTGTGCGGCACTTCCCCAGCCGCAGCAGTTCGGAAGCCTGTACGCTTCAATCCGAACCAACCGCGCTCTGGATTCAATCGTCGAGGAACCGGACAGGAGCCACATAGATACGGATTCAGTGAAACATGGCTCATGGAAAGCAGAAGCAGAATTAACATTGAAACTCAAGTTCCTTGGCTGCAGCCCGCTTATTACGGCGGAGGTGTTACTATTGGAAGCGCTGTGGACAGCGAGCAATTGTACTTGGGACCTTATGGAAGTCCAGTTCGAAACACGGGGTTTCACTAGTGCTTGGAAAGAGTATTTGACTGTCGATCTCGGCTTTCTAAGGACGAGTAAAAGAATATCTTGGATTATTGCCCCAACACACCGGAACCATTTTCGAACACAAATATGATGAAACGGTAATCTGATTATTGATAAGGATGCATCGTCATTGATGAATTTTTACAGCACAGTGTATCCAGAGACATATGTCGCAATCTTCCTTTTATTGGTTTTCCAACGTCTCCCCATACCTGGCATGAAATTGCAATACATGGGATCAGTCCCCATTTCATTCTCCTGAGTATGAACGCCGACATCATGCAGGGGTGATAATATACAGTGGTGGTGATTTCCATCTTGCTGTCGACCATATGTTTCGCTCTCTCATGCAAGTGCAGCGAGTCTCTCATCATGAAAATTCCTCAATTCGGTAATTTCCGGCTCGCAGCGTCGGCCGTCCGCTCGACTCTCCTCTAGCAATTCATCTCGAATCTCCAGCTGGCCAAGAGAGCGTGGTTTGCTGAAAGACGACCATTGGTGCGTACTGCTCCCCCATGAGCCTTTGTGCGGAGTTCCGCTGCCTGACGTTTCGCGGAGTGTGTTGGGCGCCGACTTGCGCCGACGAGCCCTGGCCAGTAACGGCCCATAGCATGGCAGGCACGCCGCGATGATGGAACAGTTGGGCTCAATCAGCATGAAGATGTATTGAGTCGATTGCTTGGCTATGCAATGTGTTTGTTAGCCGTCCGATCTGCTCATCTTGGAACTAACAAGCAACTGCTTCCACCCATTTACTTACAGACGCTGTCTTGCAGGGTTGTAAGGTTTCGGAGACTTTGCTCAAGAATGATCCCACGTATGATTGCGGCAATACAGCAGCTTCGAATGTGGCTGTCAGCTACAAATATCACAGGCCCACGTGTGAGACCATCAAGGAGGGGCTTACAATGCACCGAGCCAGAATATCCCAAAGACCATCAGTTTTTTCCTTGGTGATAAGAGCATGCGGAAAATGATCGGTAGCGGGAAACACAGGACGATGATATCGAGCGCAATGCTGCTGCCCACTTGTGCCAGTCCCAATGCTCGCATATCCCATCGTACGCGGACGTCACCACTCTGGAACACTGCGTCCAAATTCATCGTTGCGGAAATAGGATCAACAGCAGTGATTGTGAGCTATCCAAAAGCATTAGAAACGTGCCTGATTCATTCTTTGCCACGTTTGATGTGGGCGACTCTTTTCCTCGCGGCTTGACTGGCCGGGAATGGTACTCACTATGGTGAATGTGACACACCATACCGCGATGACAACGATGGCAACCCAGGTCCACATAACCAGTTTTTCGGAAATTTCGAAAATCCGTTTATAGAAAAGCAAGACAGATATCTTAACCGAGGCTATTGGTATTGCGAAGAAGCAAGCTGCCAAAAATGAAACCTGGGACGGGGACAAGCTGCTGTCAGTCAGGCTCAATTGGATTGTATGTTTCCATGGGTGCAGCGACTCACCTTTACAGTGTCCTCGAGTCCTTGAAGAAAATCGACGTCGAAGGCATCGACCCCTGACAGGGCACCGAAGACCCAGAACAGGATGCTCATCGGCATTACCATGACCTGATAGATATTAGCGAGGCTTGGAGGCAAGACTGGAATGGAGTGAAGATTAGACCAACCCAAGTTGCAATGATCCACCAGTCATCGGCATGGTAAGACTGACCGTTCCATCGCTTTGCCAGTAGACGAAGGTAGATAGAAACAGCAGCCAAGAAAGGGAAGACCACGGAGACGACGATGAGGGGCGTAGTGATGACCGAGATCATCGCCATCCCTTGTCCACCCGAAATGACGGGTGCTGGAGTCATTTCGCAGCACCGAGTCTTGACTGCATGTAGGAAAGGAGAATTGCAATCGAAAACTCATCCACAATTGGAGAATAATGCCCATGTATAAGCAAGCGTTGCCAGTATTGTGGGCTTTCTCGTACGTGATTTTTCAGACCACTTGGCTGAGACTGGGTGGAATGGAAGTCTTCGGGTTCATATTGTGAGCCATTGAGAACAAACGGGTGGTCTAGAAGGGTCTGAGCTGAGAATTAACATGAACATCGGCACTATGGCACAGACTGGTTGACTGACTACCATGTCGACAACAGCCGAGAACAGCACGACAACAAAGAAAATGGTTCATGTGACAGACATGTGACAGCAAAGCCCATACCGGACCTCCTGCCTTCACTTGAACCTGTTCAAGTGGACACAATCACACCGAAAGCGTGGGAGAGCTAGCTGCCAAGACTAGAAAGGCGTGAAGCTAGCAAGCGGTCTCGTGTGGTCAATACGGCGGTCCCAGATGATTTCTAGTAGGTACAGTATGTTACGTCGCAGAAGGATTCCAGGAGTAGATGCATGTTAGTAAGTTTACCGAAAATGTTTGAAATTATGAGGATTTGGTTTTGTTCGAAGTACCAAGGGCTCTTCGGTTGGATGACAACTTGAGTACCTAGGCTGCCCAGAGATTCCCGAGTGCCCAAGAGTACCGGTATGAAGACATCTTTCCCGTGGACTGCTCTGTTGGAGGTTTGAGAAAATACAATAAATACATTATACTGGTATCATATTATGCTAGAGTTATTCATAACGGCACACTGGTATTAAGCCAACTTCAAACATTACCAGAGTCGTGAAAAGTGGCACTGCATTATAAAATATCCAAACCATTATGGGATCAGCGCTAGCCCACTGTGGGTGGACCTTCTAGCCCCTGAACCCTGTCGATGGGAATACCCGTGCATGCAGCTGAAGAGCCAATGGTGATGCGGCTCAGAGCATGTCGAGCTGGTCTTGACAGGGAGCGTATAGGACGCCTGGACGCTTCGTACTGCACGGATGCGTGTGGGCCCACCCACGCTAAATATTGTTTGGGAGATTGAATGCCGTCACAAGGCACGGGACGAGGTGATTGGTGTTTGAGATTCGTGATATATGTGACGATCCATCTCCCCATCTCTCTTATCCCAATAGGAGCTACGCACTAGGTGCCGAAGCCTCTCGAGCTGCCGGTTAATCTTCTTTTCCTGAGCTAACCAAGCCTCCAAGCCACGCCGCCACCGCACGGCGGAAATGCTAACATAACGGCCTGAGGGGACGGAAGGCGCAGTCGTGATTTGAGCTCGCCCCCACAAAAGGAGACCCCTACTTGTGCAACATGGCTACTGTCCCCATAGGCATACCCCATAGGCATAGGGGTCCAATGATGTAATCTGTCCTTCGTGGCCTGCCACTTCCCTGCATGAATTTTCGACTTTTGGTTTTGTTGAATCGAAACACGCGCTAGGCCAGCCTTTCTTGGCAACACATGCTTCGACCTTGCCCGTCCACCACCTCTCGAGCATCATTTTCTCCTACGCACCCCTCGTTCCTAATCACCTCAGGACGTCGCCTCGACTTCACCCCGACTGCTGCCGCTGCTCAACCATGGCGCAGCTACCTTCTACAACGACCACGACGATGGCGGTGCCGAAGGCCGTGTCTCTGATACCGGCGGCGAACGAGTCGCTGTTGAGGCCTGGCCAGCAGCCCAGCTACATGTCCCGGCGCGGACCACACATCTCGGATCAGCCATGGACAGTTTCCAACTGGTACCTCCATATCGACTGGTTCAAGACGACCCTGCTTGTCTTCATCCCTATCGTGGCCGTCTATTACGCATGCTTCACGCCATTGACCCGCCCGACTCTGATCCTGTCTGTCCTACTGCACCTCTGGGCCGGCATAGGCATCACAGCAGGGTACCACCGCCTCTGGTCTCACTGCTCCTACACGGCAACCCTGCCCCTGCAGGTCTTCCTCGGATTTGGTGGTGCCAGCGCCCTCGAGGGCTCGATCCGGTTCTGGAGTTGGGGCCACCGCGCCCACCACAGGTTCACCGACACCGATGCGGACCCGTACACCGTCCACAAGGGTCGTGAGTCAATATCCAGTCGAGAGGCTATCTACATCATCACTACCACCACCAACACCACAGTCCTACTACTTGCTACTCCTCCCCTCCACTTCTTCCTTCCACCAGCCTGATGCATTAATCACCCGGCGGCCTGCTGGGACATCGGCCGCATGTGATACGTATGGTACCCTGAGAAGGTCAAGGCGCCTCTCAATTTTCCCCAATGCGCGCGCTGCTAATCACTGGATGCTGTAGTGTGGCATGCGCACATGGGGTGGCTCCTCCTCAACCAGGACTACAAGAAACACGGCCGCACCGACATCTCCGACCTCTCCAACGACCCCTTCGTCGTCTGGCAGCACAAATACTATGCCCCGATCTCTATATTCTTCGCCTGGGTCATGCCTCCCCTGGTGGCGGGGCTTGGCTGGGGGGATTGGAAAGGCGGCCTCATCTACGCCGGCGTTCTTCGCGTCGTGACGGTTCAACAGAGCTCCTTCACCATCAACAGCCTCGGGCACTACCTTGGCGATCAGCCCTTCGACGACAGGCGCTCTCCCCGCGATCATTGGATCTCGTCACTATTCAGCCTCGGCGAGGGATACCACAACTTCCACCACGAGGTACGGGGACATCCCGACGTCACACATTGGCGTCTGCACCTTGTGTCCTCATGTGACTAATCTCTACCTTCAACAGTTCCCTACCGACTACCGCAACACGACAAGATGGTTGACCTACGACCCGAACAAGTGGTGCATCGCCACCTGGAAATTCCTAGGCCTGGCGAGCGACCTGCGCACGTTCTCCCAGAACGAGATCGACAAGGGCAAGCTCCAGCAGGAGCAGAAGAAGCTGGACCGCAAGCTCGGCGTCCTCGACTGGGGCAAGCCGCTCGCCGTCCTGCCCGTGATGGAGTGGGAGGACTTCGTCGACCAGTCGCGCACCCGCGCCCTGATCGCCGTCGCGGGCCTCGTGCACGACGTGACGGACTTTGTCCGCGTGCACCCGGGCGGTAAGGGGCTCATATCGACCGCCATCGGGAAGGATGCCACCGCCATGTTCAACGGCGGCGTGTACAACCACTCCAACGCGGCGCGCAACCTCTTGGCCAAGTACCGGGTTGGCATCATCCGCGGGGGCGGCGAGGTTGAGATCTGGAAGGTGCGGGCGCAGAAGCGCGCCGAGATGATTCGGGATTACGATTACTCTATCGTTGGTTCCAAGGAGCACATGCAGTAGACATGGGCATGCTGGAGTTTGGTGGACAAAAGTGAATACACGGGAATACACGGTAGAAAGATGGCTCGCTGCTCGATTTACACAACTGTTATCGGTTTTCTTTGCATGGTCTGCGCAGCAGTGCTTGGTGCAGACCTGTGTTCGGTGTCATTTGGGGGCGTGGAATGGGTAAGACCGAAGACCTGGGGACTGTTTGCTTGCATACCTTGGTTCCTACGTACCAAGGTAACTAATTCAAATACACGATCTCGCTGTCAGAGACACTCATGTCCGTCATGAGTACCACAGAGCATTAGAACAGCACCCGCCGCCATCATTGATATCAAGATGCGCCACCACGGCCGCCGAGCTGGCATCACCGTCACCATCACCATCACCATCACCATCAACACCATCGAGCCTCCAAACCTCCACAAACCCGCTCGAGTTGTCCGTGAGCACCGCGAACTCGTCCGTATACGGGCTCGGCGACAATATGTTCGCGATCCCGCCGCTTGATGACGTCGGCACGATGAAATTCTGCTTTACAACTGCGCCCTGTTCATCTAGCGAGAACACCGAGATGTAGCCAGTAGTGTTTGCGTTTCTGCCTCGGTTGCTGGCCCACAGGTATTTATTGCTCGCCGACAGCGCCACCTCGTCCGCCCAGTACTGGGCCGGGTCCTGCTGCGCCGACAGCAAGAGCGTATAGACGCCGTCCTGGGCCGGCAGCCTGGTCTCCGGGTCGATGGCGTACTGCGCGAGCTGGCTGGAGCCCTCGAGGATGACGTACAGGTAGCGGCCCCCGGGGTGCACCACGACGTGGCGGGGGTCGGACCCCGGCGTGGGCCCCGTCAGGTTCGCCAGGTACGTGACCTCGCCGGTGGCGCTGTCGACGGCGTGGGTCCAGAGCGTGTTGCCCGTGTCGTCCGCCGAGTAGAGGTACCGCGAGTCTGGGCTCAGGGCGGCGCCGTGGACGCCCGACACGTCGGGGAAGTACGTGTAGTTCTGGATGACCGCGTCGAGGGTGCCGCCCTCGTCGACGGAGAGGACCGAGCCGCAGCCGGCGTTGATCCCCTTCACCGTTGAGAAGAAGGTGCCGTAGACGTTGTAGGGGGGTTGCTGGTCCGCCACGACGAAGATTGCGGTCGCGCTGCAGTTCCCCCCCGCGGGGATGGTGGCCTGGTGCTGGATGGATGTGGCATTGGTGATCGAGTAGCTCGTGAACTTTGGTTGCTGCTGCGCGTTGGACTGGCCGTAGGCCGAGGTGTAGAGGTTTGTTTTGTCATGCTGTGTCTGACTTAGCCACGGTGTTCTAGGGAGGGCAAACTTGAAGCAGAACTTTAGGGGAGCCTACGTTGAACGCAAGCCAGTTGCCAGCGTACGGGACCGAGGTGTTGGCTACCAGGCTTAAGGTGAGCGCCTCATCGTCAAATTCTACTGTGTAGAAAAACTTAGTGCTGAACGTGCCCACGATAAGCTCGTGAATGGTGGCTTGTACGACGAAAGCCAAACTTAAAAGGCACACAAATGAGGGATACATAATGCTAAAATGGTGCGAAAGCGCATGTAGGATATCTTGGCTGACAGGATGCCAAGGATAAATTTCCAAGCTCTTTTCATTTCCTCCGAACACCTGTCAGTATAAATAAACCCACCATTTTGCCGTCCTGATACTCCTCGATCCCCGCAGTCGTAAGCAAGTTCTCCGCAGTCGCAAGCAGATTCCCCACAGTAAAGAACATTTTGTACTGCCAGCATAACAAGCAATTTAAAATACCAATCATCGCTTCTGAAGCATGACGAAGAGGGGCAGGTAGCATAGGGGGAAGTACGTATGCGTCGGCACTCCCCGGAATACTGCCTAGGTACCTCGGGAATGTTCGCACTGTTCCGTACCGAGGTTAGCCTGGTTTATATACAACGCCTTTGAAGTTGAAGCCCTCTGATACCCTCCAGGACATGCACACCTAGGGGGCCCTCGACGAAAAGTCTCTTTCGAGGCTCTCCTGCTTTCACTGATATGAAATAACCCGTATTGATTGAATTTTGCTTCTCGTCTATTCCGTTGTCATGATATTCTTAGGGGTAGCCTCCCCCTCCTGAAAAGCATACCGGCACGGGAGACGATTGAGCAATTGGTCAAACAAGGGGATCAGCGATGTTCAAGTAATGCGAGATATAACTTTCGTGCTGCCCTCAGAAACTATCTTGAGCCGATATCGCATGACCGTGCCAATCATTTGCATCTCCTGTGAATTGGTCGTGAGACTGAAGCTTCCCAAGGGTTCAATACTGAATATTACCTAGGTATCTATGACTTGCAGTTATGTCGGATTGGCTGAATGCCAACCTAGCTAGGCATGGGGCGGCCGCCATCAGGCTTCCCAATTTGTTCGGCAAATATTCCGTAATCAACGATCATTCCCGTATTGGGGGTAACTCTATAATATGACTTCTGCCAACCTGAGGCATGTGATAGGCGCACAGCATCGAGGATCTTTAGTTGGCTGACGTGGTTTCTAAAAGCAGTGTTGGGGTCCAGGCACTGCTCCTCAACCAGCCTTCACGTGCGACCCAACATAGAGCCTTGCGTGACCTTATGACAAGGCGCAGGTTGGGAAACGTCAGTGTAGGATCAGGTCGTGACTTTCCTAGTTGGGAGTTATATCAGTTCTGTCACTCAAGCACCTCATGCTTACTTCCTAGCCAAGGCATCTCAAGATGGCGGCTCATCCAGCCATGCGCCTTGGAGGTGTGATGCCTCGTCACAGCCTTGTCAGCCCAGACGGAACAGGCGGTATGAATGTGAGAGCCACTGAGATGCAGTGTCCGAAGAGAGAGAGGAGGGAAGTGAATTCTAAGCACCGCAGGGCAGGGGAAGATGTTGCTACTAAACCACTCGGAAAACTATAAAGAAATTCTCTGTCCGGCTCTGCATGTAAACGTTGAAAGGACAAGTGGTCTGCATCTCTCAAATAACACCAACATGTTTTCTTTCACTCTAATCCGCCTATTTGGCATTTTCGCTGCTGCGAGCACGGTAACGGCGACGGGGACCAAGTTGAACATCACCGCCATTGGCACCTACAAGAACGCCTCGCGCTTTGAGTGCTGGGAATTGGACCAGCCATTCACCTCATCAAACCAGTCAGGGCTGGTGAACTCGAGAACAAAATTCCTAGGGGATGTCTCGAAACTCTCAATGAATGTTGTCCCGTCTGGATTCGACGGCGGATTCCATCCTGCACCGACCAACCAGTTAGTTCCTCCGTTCCAGAGTTCCAAACAGAACGCTAATAAGCATATCGCAGATGGGTGGTGCTAGTCGGAGGGCTCGGCGTGATCACGCTGCCGGACAACAGTTCTACCACTTTGACCACGGCCGGTGGAGAGTTCGGAGTGTTGTTCGCCACGGACACCGCTGACCTTACTGAAGAGGGCCATGGCGGTTTTTTTCCAGGTCCAACTGAGAGCATTGTACTTCAGATCCCGACCAAGGACAATAAGATACCAAAACATCGGATGTTGAAACACAATGAGCCATGCACAGTCAACGAGGTTGCTGGTTTGAGATCTTGGGCACTTGGAGCTTAGGGTTGTCGTCGGCCTTGAATATTCGATGCTGATAAGTAGGTACCCAAGTACCTAAGTACCTAGGTATTTATGGAAGGCCGCTGCAGGATGTCTGCGCCTGCGATGGATTTGCGTTTCACTGTATACCTACCGGGGGGAGGGGGGGTCCCTGATATAAGTATATTATTATATTAAAAATCAATATTTAAATAAAATTTAGACATTATAACTAAATATTAATAAAAGGTTAATAAAATACTATTATAGGTAAAATCTATTAAGGGGTTGATTATATATCAGATTTTAATATTATATTAATATATATTAGGAATTCTAAATCTACTAGTTTTAAATTTTATAAGTTAGTAAAAAATAAGGTTTTCGTATTTCCTTAACTCTATAGCCCTATAAACCTAATATATAGTAATAATTAAGCTGAATAATAGTTAATAAGTAGTTAAGTTAGGGATAATTTAAAAAAAAAAACTTAATTCTAACAGGAATTAAACTCCCTTTTTACCTATATATTAGACCCCTAATACTATGTTAAGAGCATTTCAACAAGTAAATCATATTAAGCTAAAAAGCGTTATATTATTTAAACATTATATAGTTATATTAATAGTATATTTATATTTTAAGAGAATATTAATATTATTCTAAAATAATAGTACTATTTACTCAATTTACCCCCCTCCCCCCGGTAGGTATACTGCATGGGGATGTTGAAGAAGTTCGGGTTGTCGATTCGGTGTGTTGGAGGAATTTTTATTATAGATGCATGGCCCCCGCCAGTTTCATATAGAAGCCATTTCATGAATAGCTATACTGACGCGCGCTCCTTTGGTATCCCACATCGCCCATTTTAATCGAGTTCCAGCTGGGTTGTCAACAATGTAGCTTTTTTAAAAACGCTGGGTCTTGAGCATTTACCACCGTATGAAGGCGTTATGTATGTCCCCGGACATATACGGAATAGAAGCGAAACCAGAGATATGTACTGATGTAGGCATGCTCCGGAATTACCGCCCCGCGATCAGTCGACCATACTATGGCGGACAATCCGAAGGGGATGCAAAATCTTGTCCGTTGGCTTCTTGGACGGACTGGTCTCCCCAATTAAATAAGACCATTGATCTCGATTATGAGACCCTGCCAGTATTTCCCAAAACAAGTGTACATACAATACCCTCTAGCTCGGGGGCTTTGTCAGCCCTTCAGACTCTGACAAACTCCCACAGCGTAGTCCCATGCCATCGTGTAACCAGCGTGCTCCCATCTCCACCATCACACAGAACCATTAGGACACTAGCCCCATGAGGTGACAGCATCTCATACCCTCCCTCTGGATGCTCCCTCGGTGTCCACAGCCCCGACTGATTCAGGTAGTTTGCCGAGGCACGAATGCCAAATCCACCGTCGTGGCCAAGGTAGTTCCCGGTCTTGGGATTTTGGAAGCCGAAGTAGCCATCCTTCTTGACGCAGAACCAATGGGTCTTTCTGTCAAAGACTCTGGTGGGCCCGACTTTCTCGAGTTTCAGTTCATCTCCGGCCAGCGTGATGGCTTTGCCGCTGCGCTTTTCGATGATCTGGAAGGTCTTCTCGGGACAAGGGACTGCTCCTCGGCTGCTACAGAGGCAATCAGGGCCTGCTGCGGTAGTTGAAGGGGTGTTGATCGAGCAGGTAGTAGTTGGCGCGTCCGTGGTCGTATCTGACTGCCAGTGGAAGGATTCTCGCTTAGGCCCAGTCGCCATCTCGATCTGGAGTGCACTTGACATGTTGGTTAGTCATCTTGAGTTTGGATGCAGACTTGAATGCGCTGACATCGCAAAGACTGATTGACGTACGACGTATGTTCTAATGGATGGCGTTGTCGGTTGGCTTTCTTCCCGAGGTCACGTACGTGCAAAGGGAGGCAGAAGTGGTGTTTGTTGGTTGTATTTATGTGCCTGCAGAAGTGTTTGCAGAAGTACAAATGTGTGAGGCCTACTACGTCTGACTAAGGCTGCTGCCAATATTGGCAGTTTCTTCTTTGTGCTTTGCGAAGTATTTGTTTCAGGTTAATTAAAAGCGATTGCTTCGCAATCTGTGCCTGCCGGCCTGCCTATCTGCCTGCTTGCCTACCTAGGTACCTTCCTCTATGTGTAGGTAGTCAAAATAGAGAGAGCGGAAGCATCCTGAATTGACTTGTTCAGGGGCAAGGGCGATAGCTTCATATGCATGCCTATGAAAATGATAGTGCGTCTTTCTCGACTCCTTGGACGTCCGCAGCGAGTCTCCCGAAGAAATCAATGCGCTATCTTCGTGCCTGAACTCATGCAGGAGGCCCACCGCAACAATTTTATTCGTGCTTTACTTTCTTGCCACATCTGACCGCCCTATTGCGTTCCCGTTTGAGAGAACCTTCAAAAGAAAGTACAACTCCGCCAGCTTCAACATTACATCATGCTAGTCTGGATAGGAATTACAATGACCAGTCGACATTGCAGGCCCTACAGATGTTGTCAAAGAATCGATGATCACAACCCCTACTAAATATCTTCTGACTGGACAAGGTCAAATGGGGTGCCTTGGTATGGCTGCAGCCATGCTTGTCAGTCGGAAAAAGGGTGCACCGCCCGTTCGAGCGGGCGGGAATATCCGAACCATTCTTTTTCTGCCAATTGGCTACCTAGGTAGTCAAACAAACCAGACGTGCCTGTAGTATGAACCACTAATGATAAGTATAAGAGCCCAGTCAAGCCAGTGTACTAGCTGGGCGAAAGGCAGCTACTAGGATACCTACCTAGGTACCTAGGCAGGCCTCGCGAAAGGAATGCAGACGTGATCAGCCATTTATCCGAACCATCCACTCAAAAGACACCTTGGCAGTACTAGTTGGCAGTGTGGAGTAAACACCGACAGATGCAGGGCGCTTAGTGATATCGAGCTGGCAGTCCCGAGCTGGTGGGTTGGCAGGCGGGATTTGAGCAGGGATGCACAACCTTACCTGCCTCGTGCTGGGCGACGTCTTCACCACCCTATGTAACGAGTTACCTAGGTACGGAGTAGACTAACTAAGACTTAACCAGACTGTTTCACGATGGCCCCTCCGACTATCAGGAATTGCGTCAGTGGCACAGGGAGTGGTTGTCGCCAGCGCTGGGTTTCCATAATTTCTCCAACGTTGAAGCTTTCTTAGGGCCTACTTCGTGACGCGACACGACAGCTCCCAGTGGCGGTGGCTTGCTTGATGGGATTAAACGAGCCAGCCACACCGGACTGGCGGGTACGGTAGGACGTACTATAAACAGCCCTTGTCCTGGTCGATTCGTAAATTAGCTTGGACTGTGGATTCGGTAGTGTAAAGCTTTTCCCAACCTGTCTTCACGCTCTTCACAGTAGAATTAGTACCTGAGCAAGGGCCCATGGAAGGATGGTGGTCTGGGAGGAGGTATGGGCCGGAAAGGTCTTTTGCCGAATCTCGGCCCTGTTAAGAGGCTTGGTAAACACGATTTGGTCTAGCGGTGTGGTCGCACGCAGCTAAGAATTCACGCATGCGCGAGATTCAGGCACCAACGGCTGCATGTTCACGAGAGCCATGGAGAGGGGCCTCTTGACGTGGTCTTGGGGAACAGCTGAGCGTGGCGGGTAAAACCAAATGGCGGAAGAGTAGACGTCCGGGCCTTCTGGTACCTAGGTATGTGTGCCGTTGGGTCAAAAGGCACCGCTCCCCTGGTCTGTTTCCGGTCGTGGTGCGTCACTGGTAGCTGCGCAGACCTTTTCAGAGGAACGAAAAATACACACACTCGTTGAATATTCTCTGACACCACTGATTGAAGACTGATATTGGATACTCTGTGGTTTGAAAGCACTCCCATCTATCAGGAGCAGCACGGAGATCATCGGCCCAATCAACCTACACATCTGGTTGTTTGCAGCAGAAATGTCTCAGTTGCGGTCCATCCCAGAACTCCTTGTCCGCCATGCAGCAGAACGCGGCCAGAAGGTTGCTTATTCATCGCCGTCACGGGAAATCGTAAGTTCTGGCGCGTGCATTTTCCCAACCCCCGCTGCTTTTCCTTTGTCCGGTTGAAGGGGCTGGAACCCTTGATACGGGCATAAGTGTAGCCGTTGCGCCAAGTTGCTAATGGCCACAGACGTATCGGGAACTCGAAGAACGAACTAGACGCATAGCAGTGCACCTAGCGTGGGCTGGAGTAGGTCGAGGGGACTTTGTGGCCGTCTTCCTGGGCAGATGCCTCGAGGCACTTGAGAGCATCCTGGCAATCACGCGAGCAGGTGCAGTGGGAGTCCCCCTGGATTCTCGCTCGACATCCTCTGAACTGTCCAATGCGCTGCAACATTGCGGCGCGCGTGCCATATTTACCGACAGCCACCACTTAAGCCAGGTTCGACTTGCAACCGAAGGGCAAAAGCAGACAATCATTGTTGTGTCTTCATCAGTCGATTGTACTGCCAATGGCGAGTCAAAAGTCGCCCAATACGAAAGCTGGGCAGAGGATGAAGACTGCACAACCTCAGAATCCAAAATTGACGAGGACACTGGAGCTGATCCGGCTTTCTTGCATTATACCTCTGGGACGACAAGTTCACCAAAAGGTGTATTATCAAGCCAGCACAGCTGGCTATTGTCTGCCCAAGGTTTCGTACAGAGGTTTGGCTTCACAGAGGAAGACCAATTCTTTATTCCTGTTCCACTCTTCCATGCTATCAGTCATTCGTTTTGTATATTCGCGACATTGACTGTGGGAGCAAGCGCCCACATCCCCGACCCTAACAAGACCTTCTTTGATAGTCTTGCCACAGGGCAGGCGCAGACGGCCACGATCATTGTTGGCCCACCTGCATCCTACCACGAGATCGTGGCTACAGCATCGACGTCGGTAACTCCGCTGGCTTTACCCCGATTGAGGGCATGTATGTTCGGTGGAGCCCCGGCAACAGCAGCCCTTAGTGCTCAGGTCCAGCAAGTATTCGGCGTCCCACTCACAGCCAACTATGGATGCACCGAAACATGTGGAGGAGTATGTACCGGCAGACCAGGCGACCTTTTTCGTGAAGGTGGGCTCCCAGAGCTCATTCCAGGCGTGGAGCTAAAGTTGGTGGACCCTGACGGGAATGAAGTTAAGGTGGGCGAGCAAGGCGAAATCTGGATTCGAAGTCCTGCCCTTATGATTGGATACTACAAGGAAGCCAAAAGTCCGTTCACTTCGGATGGCTGGTTCCCTACTGGTGATCTTGCACGCGAATCGACATATGGAAACAATTTGACTCTTATTGGACGACGGAAAGAAGTGATCATCAGGGGCGGTGAGAACATCCAACCTGATGAGGTAGAAAAAGTTCTCCTTCAATGTCCTGGTGTCACAGATGTTGTCGTGGCTGGAGTTCCACATCGTCTTTTGGGTGAGACACCTGTCGCCTTCGTTGTCTGCGAGGCAAAAAGCACCACCCCCGGAAGGGATGCTGTCGATCTTGACCCGTCAACTTTGCTGGCCGTATGCAGACGGTCCCTACCCGAATACAAGATACCGACATGTGAGGAATATTCTTTTCACCTTTTTACACTTCCCAATGCTCCTCCTGGATGAAACACTAAACTTTCAATCAACAGCATTCTACCAAATTGATGCTGTGCCAAGAACCCTGCTAGGGAAACCAAAACGGTCAACTGTGGCCTCCTGCACAAGCAGGCCACTGACAGCTGTGTCCAAGCTGCGGTCGAAGGACTCGATCCAGGCTATGGTTTTAAATGAGACCATCAGAGCATGTGATCAAGACGCAGATGCAGATGGCCAGGACGCAGCATGGCTCCATCGGTACTCCGACCGACCATTTATAACAATTGGTCTCACCTCGCTTGCTGGTATCGTCCTTCGAGATCGTCTCTCCAGCCTCACAGGATTAGATCTCCCCACAACCCTCGTGTTTGACCATCCCACTCCCGAAGCAGTCAGCGAACATCTCTACAGACGCCTACTTGACTTAAAAGTACCATCTTCCCTACCGATACCAATGCCGGAATTACCAGCTGAGGATGGCGGGGTCGAACCAATTGCCATTGTCTCTATGGCATGTCGGTATCCGGGAGGTATTTCATCGCCAGAGGATCTTTGGCAGATTGTATCTGATGGAGTCGATGTGACCTCTGAGTTCCCAACTGATGTGAGTGGAACCTTGAGGTTCTTTACCCCCCCCCCGCCCACACACACAAACAAGCATTCTGTTGAACGACCTCCCGTGGGATAAGTTTCGTAAGCCACGCGGGCTAAGAAATTGCCTTCTGGCCTTATTTTGCCAGTTGGATTTGTTATTTTGTGAGAAAGTTGGAATAAGAAGACATCAATACGTGGCTTCCTCACGGGCGACGAATTCCTAAAAAACCGATAGAAACTGTGCACTGACAATTATTGCAGCGTGGTTGGAATGTCGAGACATTGTACAACCCAGACCCAGACCATCCCGGCACCTCAACAACAAGCCGTGGGGCGTTCCTCGAGAACATGGCCGACTTTGACGCCGGGCTCTTCGGCATGTCTCCACGCGAGGCTCTTGCTACGGATCCGCAGCAGAGACTGTTACTAGAGACAACGTGGGAGTTGGCAGAGCGAGGTGGCATGGCTCCTTCGTCGCTGCGCGGAACTCAGACTGGTGTCTTTGTAGGCATCATGTATGGTGATTATGCAGATAATGGAAAAGACACTCCGGGTAATTGACGCATTCTAGCCAAGCAGTTTGGGAAAATTGGACTGACTGGAACGTGTTACAGAGCTGGAAGCATACCTTGGAATTGGCTCATCAGGGAGTGTAGTCAGCGGGCGCGTGTCGTACTGTTTCGTAAGTTATTTAACATGATGACACGAAGACAGCTGATGATTGACAATGATAGGGCTTACATGGACCGTCACTATGTATTCACACCGGATGCTCGTCCTCGCTGGTCGCCATTCACCTGGCGGCCGCGTCCCTTCGAAGCGGAGAGTCTTCTCTCGCCATCGCCGGAGGAGTAACAACCATGGCGACACCGCAGTCGTTTGTATGCTTCAGCAAGCGGCGGGGTCTGTCTGAAGACGGCCGCTGCCGAGCGTACTCGAGCGACGCAAGCGGGACGGGCTGGTCCGAGGGCGTCGGCCTTGTGCTCCTCGAGCGGTTGCAGGATGCAAGACGAAACGGGCACCAGGTCCTCGCCGTAATCCGAGGATCCGCAGTCAACTCAGATGGTGCTTCGAACGGACTCACGGCCCCGAGCGGGACTGCACAGGAGCAGGTCATCCAGGCAGCACTGGCGCAGGCCGGTCTGTCGCCGGCGGATGTGGACGTGGTTGAGGGACACGGCACTGCGACAGCACTGGGTGATCCTGTGGAAGTGCAGGCCTTGATTTCGGCATATGGGAACGGCGGTGGTGACGCAAAGCGCCCAGTTTCGAGACCGTTGCTACTTGGTTCGGTCAAGTCAAAGTAAGTCCAGAAGACGGCAGTTGCCAGCCGCCACTCTCCACAAATAAAAGGTTGCTGATCTGAAATCCTCAGCATCGGCCATACCCAAGCTGCAGCTGGAGTGGCAGGAGTCATCAAGATGGTCAAGGCGATTCAACACGGCATAGCACCAGCTTCATTGCACATCAACGAGCCCTCGAGGTATGTAAAATGGGAGGGTAGTGGTGTGGAAGTTCTCAGCAAGACAAAGCCATGGCCCACATCTTTTGAACCAAGTTCGACAGCTAGAAAGCGCCGTGCCGCGATATCATCATTCGGTATAGGCGGTACAAACTCGCACGTTGTCCTAGAACAGCCACCCGAAGAAGGGAACCAAAGACAAGCGGGCTTATTTGGTAATTCGACACCTCCAATTACACCAACAACACCGAAAACTTTCGACAAGACAGGCATGACCTTCCCATGGATTCTCTCTGGCGCAGACGAGGCGGCTTTGCGTGCACAAGCTCGGAGTTTGCTAGAAACCAAGGCCATTTTCCTCCAGGACCCTGCTGATATCGCCTTGTCGCTTGCAACTACAAGATCTGCTCTTCGGCACAGAGCGTCTGTCACTCCCACCGGGGGAAGTTATCAAGCCGCGCTTGAGGAATTAGCTGGAAATCAACGAAACTCGGAAGATGGCGCGGTTCCTGCACATGCGCAGGCTAGTGCTACGAAACCCCGGGTGGCATTCATGTTTTCGGGACAGGGTGCAAGGCTTCCCAGCAGTGATGTACTGGAGAAGCTCTGCGCGGCGTTCCCTGTTTTCTCTGATGCGTTTGTGGAGGCATGCGACGAACTATCTCTACACTTGGAATGCCCACTCAGTTATGTCCTGGGCAACGGCGAGGGACATGAGGCAGATCCCCGGCTAGATCGCACAGACTTCGCCCAGTCTTTGCTCTTCGCTTTCGAGGTGGCCATGTTCCGTCTTCTTGAGTCGGTCAACATCCGCCCGGATTTTGTGACCGGTCACTCTCTGGGTGAGATCGCGGCGGCATATGCGTCTGGAGCTCTGTCGCTTCGGGAAGCCGCTATGATTGTGACCTGCAGGGGCAAACTCATGGCTGATCTGCCTTCCAATGGCATCATGGTGAGCGTCTCTGCCAGCGAGGAAGAGGTCACTGAAGAGATATCACGCCAAAATCATGAGATTGAGAATGGATCGGTCACCATTGCGGCAGTCAACTCGAAGACCTCAATCGTCCTTTCTGGAACAGAAGAAGCTGTCACTATCATAGCAGAGAGGCTTGCTGGCTCAGGACGACGAGTTACACAACTTCGGAACATCAGGCATGCTTTCCACTCACCGATGATGGATCCTATGCTGGCCGACCTCGAAAGGAAATTGGAATTTTCAATCAGCACTGACAATACGAGAAAGTCCACAACTCCCCTCGTGTCAAGCGTGACGGGGAAGCGGGTCGAAGCAGCCCGGCTCAGGTCGACTATGCATTGGAATTGCCATGTATGCCAGCCCGTACGCTTCTCTGATGCTATAGAGGAGCTTCAGAATGACGGTGTCTCACTGTTTGTCGAAATTGGACCCTCTGCAGTTCTGTCTAACCATGTGCCGGGGTCCATCGCGACGCACAGCCAGGTCAACAGGCTACTCGATGCCTTGGGCCAGGTGTGGGTCCGAGGCATACAGGTCGACTGGAAGACTGTGATCAAAAGCACTGGTGCGAATATTATTGATCTGCCAGTCTACCCTTTCCAAAGACAGAGATACTGGCTTGATCTACCTAAGCCAGCAACGCAGAAGGCCGAGTTAATGAATGAACTGGGACACGGGATACTCTTCCACTCAACATCGATACCAGACACAAACAAAATCATCTGCACGGGACGCCTATCAACGGCGAGACAGCCCTGGCTTCGCGATCACGTCGTCGGCGAGCAGATGATTGTCCCTGCTGCGGCACTCACGGAGCTAGCTTTGCGGGCAAGCCGGGAGTGTACTGGAACGGACGAGTCAATGATGCTGGATGAGTTCACATTTATGGCCCCAGTCGCTCTTAACGCTGAACAAGATGACGAGTTGAAGATACAGGTCGTCATCGGGGAAGCACAAGAGCACGGAGCAAGAGCTGTTGACGTCTACTCACGGCCCCGTGATGTCTCGGCACAGCACGAATGGACACGACACGCCACTGGTATCCTCAAACCCGCCTCGCCGCTCGATGATGGAGGTGATACTGTCCAAAAATATTCCGAGTCGGTTGTAGATGAGAGAACACGATCCTACGATGGGAAAATGATTGATGTTACCAAAGCATACGGAATCCTGGCTGGCGCGGGCATAAAGTACGGCCCATCCTTCCAATCCGTGCGTTCTGTCTGGCGCGAGAGCCAGGATGAGCTGGGAGTACACATAGAGCCGTACCCGAGCCAAAGTCGGATGTACGCACTGCACCCAGCCCTACTTGACGCCGCAATTCATGCAACTCTGCTTCCAGAACCAGAGAAAGCAGCCGGCAACATTCGCCTGCCGTTCCTGTTCCGAGGCGTCCAAATTGATGACTGGGCTGGCTCTGGCGCCTTGATCGCACGCATACGCAAGCAGGATGAGAATAGATTCTCACTCCATCTCACAAAGAAGGCGACACGGAAGCTGGTGGCAGTGATATCTGAAGTGGTCACCCGGCCGTGGAGTGCTGCCGAATCAGCCGCGGGAGATCTTTATCGACTCCAGTGGGACAGATTTTCAACGTCCAGAATCAATGGGGAGTCCAACGGGCCTTCCAGTGACCATTATGAGGTGTACCGGGTCCGAAGCGATGCTCGAGATGACGGCGCAGATGAGCATTCCGCGGTCCACAGCAGGGTGCACAGGTCTGTCGCAGAGGTGCTCGGTGTGATACAAAAGTGGCGCGCGGAAAAGGCATACTCTGATGAACGTCTTGTCATTGTCACAGAGAGAGCGTCACTAGAAAATCATCCGGACCTCGTGTCTGCGGCCGTATGGGGATTCGTGCGTTCTGCACAAGCAGAGCTTGGCGGTGGACGCATCGTGCTAATCGACCTGGACGGCTCGGCCGAGTCCGAGAAGGCACTCGCATCCGTGATCGTTTCCAAAGAGGCAACTGTTGCCGTGCGTAAGGGCACACCCATGGCCCCGTCGTTGAAGAAGATGTCTCTGCCGCCGGTTCAGAACGCTTCATTGAAGGCAGCGGTTTGCGCTTCGACACTTGATATCAGCGGGACTGTACTGATCACCGGCGCGACGGGAGGACTTGGCGCCCTGCTCAGTCGACACATTGTTCGTGTCCACGGAGCCAAAAGCCTGCTCTTGGTCAGCCGGTCCGGCACGAAGGCTCAGGGTGCGGCTCAGATGTATGACGACCTAGCTGCCGCAGGCGCCGTGGTACGCATCGAGGGATGTGACTGTGGCGACCGTCAACAACTGGTCACACTGCTGGAGAGCATTAGCAGCCGAGGTCTACCACCTATAAGCGCCATAATTCACTGTGCAGGTATCGTGGATGACGCTATGCTCAGCTCCCAAGATCCAGGACGGGTATCCCGTGTCCTCTATCCCAAGGTCGACGCCGCCTGGCACTTGCACGACCTTGCACCGTCCACGGTACGGTCTTTCGTACTATTCTCGTCATTTGTTGGTATACTCGGCAATGAGGGTCAGGTCGCCTACTCAGCAGGGAACGCGTTCCTGGATGGACTGGCCCGCTACCGAAATTCTCGTGGACTGCCTGCCATGTCGTTGGCGTGGGGCCCCTGGCTCAACGAGGTGGGAATGGCGTCCGACACTAAGTTGAAAGCTCACAGTGCTCGTCTTGAAAATGCAAAGCCCCTCACAGACCAACAGGGCTTACAGCTATTCGAGAAAGCAATGCAAAGAAGGTTCTCGTCGGAGCCGGTCATGGCGCCACTGCTTATCGAAGGCCCTTTCCCACTGATATCGGATGGTACGGGAGGGCCCAAGGCAACCACATCAGCATTACACAGCAGAAGTAAATGGCGTCAACTACTCTCTCAAACACCCGTGAACCGTCGTGAGAAGAAATTGCTCGAATTAGTCAGAAGCTCGATGGCCACGGTGCTTGGGTACCATGATCAGGATCTCCCGGATCGGCCGCTCGCAGATCTGGGCTTCGACTCCTCAAGCTCTGTGCTACTCAGCAACGAGTTGAGGAAGCTAACTGGGGTGACGGACCTGCCTGTCACACTGGCCCTCGATTATGAGACTACTCAATCGCTTGCGCAATACTTGCTTGGCCGGTTGGACCTTGAGCGGATCGACGATGAAACGGAGGCGACGGCTCATGCGCCACACAGCACAGCTGAGAATATCGAGGACCCACTATATGCGCCAGAGACTGACAACAAACCCAGCTTGGGAATATTTGAACCGTTGAATGGCGAGCCGGAATGTGACCGGGAAGGTGTCGATGTCGAGGCGTTCGGAGGGCTGGCTGCTCTTTACAAGCGGCTTTGTCACCTCCAGCAGTACAGCGCAGCAGCGGAACTGCTGGGTATCTCCTCACTCGCCCTGCCAAGATTCAGGATAGGGTCAGATTTGTCGAAATACGCGGTCCCCCCTCAACTCCTTGCGGCTGGTCCCTTTGATTCTGCAAACCCGACCGTGCCACTTGTATTACTACCATCATTCCTCCCGCCTGTCATCAACGATGGGTTCAGGGGGAGTGCCTACAGTACACTGGCAGCTGCAATGAAGGGCCAGATGGAGATATTTGAGCTCCCGCACCCAGAAGTGATGGCTGTTCCCGAGGACCTTGAGACACTTGCTGCCATACATGTCGGCACGATCAAAGAGCATTTTACGGGCCCTGTAGTGCTTGCTGGATTTTCTGCTGGTGGTTTAGTCGCTCACGCCGTGGCCTCTAGGCTATTAGAAGAGACTAAAAATCAGGATAGACAAGAGGCCAGGTTGGCGGGTTTAGTGCTCATCGACACGTATATCAATATGAGAGCGAGCAAGCAACCAGAGTGGGTGGACGCGCTGCCTGCTGAGGCTCTTACTGTCCGCAACGGGGGTCTCCTGCGCATGATTTCAGATCCTGATCTGGCGCTTGGAAAGGTAGGGGGTTATTTCAGGACATTGCAGAACTTTGAGCTGCAACCACTCCCCGAGGCACTGCCGACCCTGTTTCTGCGGGCACAGTTCCCTACGGCAAACATGCCAAGCGGCGAAGATGATTGGCGACCGTTATGGCCTCAAGTCAAAGATACCTTTGATGTTCCAGGGAGTCACCTAGAACTTCTCGAAAAGCCATGCGTGACAGCCTCTGCCGGCGGGATTCGGCGGTGGATGACACAAGTTGGAAGCCAGATCTAGTGAGACTCAAACATGGAGTGGACGATCGACATAGTCACTCGATATTTGTCAGACTGAATTATGATTCGATAGCGTTTAGACTCGGCTTGACAATGCACTGATTCAATGGGGGTTCGATCTCAACTCTCAGCGAGCCCGCTCTGAATCCGTGGTGATACTGACTTCCAAAATGTTGAATATGTACATCTCCTTCACAGCACCCAGCTGATTCATCACTCAACGCCAAGTAAGACGTACTCTTGTGATACGAGAGTCAATTTTGGGTTTAACGATTGTTACATGCCTCAACCTTGAGCTCCGACGAGAACATGGTTGAACAACCATCCCGAATCTTTCCAAGTTTATCGAAGTACCGCTGAGATACTTGACTTTGCAGCTCGGAATGGAAGCCCTGATAGACTTGTTGTACTCTAAATACATACAGGTCTATTTGAAAAACTCCGCACAAGCAGTGCAGCTCCACGTCTTGCAAAATCCGTTCGCTTCCTTCCCCATGGTTCTGCTGCTTTCTCAGCCCATAGTCATGAGATATCAGCCGTGAAATACCCCGTACCATCCATAATTGCGAATGAGCCCTCCACACCATGGCCTTGCTTGAAGGTGCCGCCACTCAAACTTCCACGAACTCCCACAGAGTAGTTCCATGTCGTCGTCTGACCAAGGTACTCTCGTCCCCTTGCACGGATAGCACCATCAAGGTGTGCCAATAATACGGCGTCAGAAGCTCGTAGCCTCCATCAGGATGTTCTCTTGGTGTCCAGAGCTCCCAGTCGCTGACGTCAAGCGCTGTTGTGCGGATTCCACTGCGCCCGTCGTGCCCGAGATAAGCTCCTGTCATGACATTCTGGAACCCAAAGTAACCATTGTGCCAGACACACTGCCAGTGAGAGCGATAGAGGCCAGGAAATATGAGGTTGCGGAGTTTCACATCGTCTTCCATGACCGTGATGGCTTTGCCGCTTTGCTTTTCAATGATATGGTAAGTGCTTCCTGGTCGGGGGATTGTTCCGTGCTCACTCCAAGGGCACTTGGGGCACTTGGGGCACTTGGGGCATTCGGGGCATTCAGCACACTTCGGGCAATCACGAGGTTGTGGGCATTCGAGCAATTTCGGGCATTCTGGGGTTTGAGGGCATTTCGAATACTCCGAGCACTCGGATGGAGTCTGAGGTGTGGCCATTCCACAAGTGTTGCTCGAAGCGCTGGTCGTGGTGTCGAACGTGGGATCTTGGTGTTTGCTGTCGGAAGCCATGTTGAGGTTGAGCTAGCATAGGACATACGTTAATCAGCAATTAATTATCTGAACGGAAGAAGAAATTACTGATATTGAGGAAGGGATGAGCCAATATACCAGAACTGATGCAATGAATGCAGTGATTAACGACGCAGTAAGGGCCACCTTGAATGAATAGAGTGAGAGCATGTTTGGAATGTCGATGTTGATTTGTGTAGATTGCGGACCCATTACTGGGCCAGTGAGGGTTTCAAGGGAACTGCGATAGGTAACGAGCTTGTGGTTTTAATCTCCCAGCTGACTTTGTTGTGGTAGGCCTCGTACATAAAGAAATTGTGACCGCCCTTTGGCGGCGTTTCAGCTAACGCGTGAGGCCGACCACGAGAAAGCTGTCTCAGTTTGCTCCTTTGACACTTTCGCCACGTCGCCACCTGACACAAACTTGACATTAGCCTTGTTCTCAAAGCTGCGATACCTAGGCACCAGTTTCGTTGTACACAACCTGAGAATTATACGCCGTCGTGCATAAGGAATATGCGTTGCAACTTGAAGTCCCTCTTGTGATATAGCTGTCTCGATACATGATCCGTCAGGGTCTTGTCAGAGGCGTGCATGCACACGAATGCGGGGATGGCCGACACTCCAGTCGTGACAGAGAGTGGTAGACGTGCATGCGTTATTATCAGTGACGACTATCACATTTTAGTTCAAAGATACCTTGAGCAGGAGAGTGTCATAAAGCTCAATATGTGCGATATCCATTAGAAGATAATTACACAGAGCGAGGGTAGCTGGGAATATCGACGACACCATCGGCTACGTAATTGTAGCAAGACCCAGAGCAACCCATATTACCACCGTTCGTAATCAGTAGCTTCTGTTTCCCGGCCGCCGCACTGCCTTGGGGTGTATTGATGATACGCAGTTCTCTCGAGTAGGCTGACCACTGCCCGACATCAAGCGGCTTCCACCCATTCACATCAAGAGCGTCAGTGTTGACGAAGATTTCCTCGCGGGAGTTCCCGTTGGCGATAAACACTCCTTCGGCCTCGTTTCCAGGTTCCGGGGTCCATATGACATAGGGACTGCCTGAGGGGTTCAAGCTACTATCTGCCATAAGTGGGTAGTCGGCCGCAGCACCAAACTGAAGGGGATCCTGGGAGACCTTGTGGCGCACAGGGCAGCCACCGGGAAGGCCACAATTCTCGAAGGTCATGACATATTTCTTGGAAACTGGGCTGTAGGCGACCGTCGCCATGCCGGGCCGCTGTTGGAAGTCGTCTTTGACAACATCGTCGACTTCGGCACTCCAGTCGCGAAGATTGCTTGTCGTTACGTGGGAGAGCTTCTGGTTGTACTTGGGGTCTACCTGAGAAGAGTAGTAGCAGATGAGCTGACCCTCATGCATCAACAGGAATGGTTCCCATACGGCCTTGTCGCCTGTGCTCGTGGTTTCGGGTCCCGGGCCGTAGACTATGTGGCTGACGAACTCCCAGTCTTTGCCGCTGTTGGTGCTGGCGTAAAGATCGATGTACGCTTGGGACAGGTTTCGAGGCGTCGAGACTCCGGCCAGGAGTATCGTCCCCTTGGAGTAACCTCCAAAGTCTTGGGGGAGGGAATACAGGAAAGGCTGATACCAGTTACCCCAACCATTGACCTGGTCCTCTACCCTTGAGAAGGGCTGGTACGTGGCTCCGCCATCAGTTGACTTGTAGATGGGGAAGTACGTTAAGGTCACGTCGGGATCGTAGTCCTCCCATGACAGGAGGAGTGAGAAGTCCGGGAGCTGGACGGTGCGACCATAGAGGGTGCGCCAACTAGTCGCTTCTTGCTTCGGCATGAACACCGCATTGTCGTTGAAGTTTGTCCATGGCTGCGGAGCCCTGGGCAACACGGAAGCTGTCAGGGCTGTGGCTGCCAAAGCCGCAACACTCAAGCCGTAGGCGAGAAGCATGATGATGAACGAATCGTTAAGGACGACAGGATGGGAATCGCAACGAGCCTGTTGTGAGCTGCAGGTTATCCGTGGGAAAAGAGAGAATGAAAGCTGGAGTTGAGATCTTTTATATCTCACTCCCGCTTTAAGTGTTAATTTTAATCGCACACGATGGCTCCTGGGCGGCGGCCGGGCCTTGACGATCGAAACGGGAGTGAGAGATGATTAGTGTCATGACAATAGTCGAGGTTACCTTGATTCAGTTCGCGAATATTTAAAGACCGACTCAAGCATACGAGCTTCCCACTTCGTCATGCTAAGAAGAAGCGCACGTATCACGTTATTGTGCTCGCAAGAGTAGTTGGCGAGGATAAGCGTTCAGCCGCGGAGGCAGTCAACCATTCCAAGAAGGGAATAAAATGGGGTGTTCTTGGCGCTAATGCGGGTTTGGGACCAATGGCATGAGTGCTATTCCGATCCTTGTATTTGCGGGGGAGGCGGTTTATGTTTACGCGTTTTGGCAGCGGAGCAAACGTGACGTGACAACGCTCTCGTAAAATTTATTGGACCCGCTCGCAAGCAATGGCACTCGACTTACACGCCCATCTTCCGGCCTATGTGAACTTGAGCTCGTCTATTTATTTCGGACACCGGTGAGGAGGGGCGGTTTTCGAGCCAATGAGGCGAGGTCAATTCCGACCCCGCCCAGAAATCACTTGCCCATAGTCACATGCCCGGGCGTGCAAAGCTAAAGATGCTTTACCCTAACGACCTAACATTCATTAATAACCACCGCTGGCAATTGCAGAGTAGTAGTGGGCGCACTAGCTCCGGGCGGCATGATAGGTTGTTTAAATAAAGGTTTCAATTATATTATTTAAAAATATAATATAATTAATAAAATTATAATAATAAATTATAATTTTAAAATAATTTTTTATATTAAAGATTATTAGTTCTTATATAAATATTATTCTAATTTTTATTTTTATTTATATTTTAATTCATTTAATAATAATATTAAATATATTAATATATTTAATAAAATAAACTAAGTATAATTTAATTATATAACTAGAAACTTTATAAATTAAATTAATATTATATTTTAAGTTAATATTTTAATTTTAAAGCTTAATTATATTATATAAATATATAATTAAGAGTATTAATATTAAATTATTAATAATTTTAAAACCTTAACTTTATATATTATATTTTAATTATAATATTCGTCTTACTTAAAAATATAATTAAGAGTAATAAGTATATTATTACACTAAAGAAGCCCGGTGTAATTAAACACAAGGTATGTAAAATAATCTAGGAGCTGGCATCCTCCCTATAAAGATTGTAAACCAGTGTTGTTTAAGGCTTCTCATGGCAAGCGGCAGAGTGCCTGCGCGGGAACAGACGGTCAGTACCTGCAAATAGTGGGGCATAGTCGACATTCTTCACATCATGTGTGCTAGGACACTTATGGGTGGTTTGCTGACACGAGTGGCGCGTCGTGACATCCATTACATACTCTTGACCTGCTCCAGTTCCACCATCCATATGCTTACCTGTGTACAGGTCCTTAAGATGGAGGATAGACGATGTTCATTGCACTTTCTAACCGGCCGAGGTGACTCATGTATTGATTATGTACTGCGTTACTTCTCAGGGTGATATGGTCACATACATTAATTATGTTGCTATAACAATATAGAAGCTGTGTTCTCCGATGTAACGGGCTGTAGGCAACATCAATTCAGGAACGAGTAGCTGAAAAGTATCCGCACGTCCACATCAGTCAGAAAGTCTGCAGTGTCAGTGAACTTATCGACATAGCTCGAGAAATCGAATTTGGCTTGCTTCCTACACCGTCCGTGCCACCCACCATGGACGGCATTTCGTTACTAACGCAATCCTGCCGAGACATCAGTCATAAGCACGGGAATTTGCTCGTAGCCTGTTTATACTTAATTCAGGTGTATTTTGTCCTCTTCTAAGCTCAGTGAAGGGAAGACCTAGGAAAGGGATTCTCTTGATTTACTATAATTTAAAGTTTTAATGGAGGAGGTATTTCTTTATGCAACCTATCTCTAGGGCGCTATCTTCAGCCACTGGGATACTATTTAAGTGCTTACAAGCTCGATTTGTGTCGAGTTATTAGCCGTACCGTCAAGTCAGTATCCTCCATGATATCAACTAACCCGATTGACGGCTTGCCCTCCGAAGGGGTGGGAAAGTTCTGACACGGTGGGTCGAGAACAATCTCAAATGTGTGTACCGCTATGACAACAAAGGCTAGTGATGTCTGCTTCGCCAGGTTCCGACCCGGACACATGGTAGCGCCGCCCCCGAATGGGCGCAGACTCTGGTGTCGCCTGAGCCCAGACTGCTTGAGGAATCGATGGGGATTGAATTCCGAGGCGTCTTGGCCAAAGTCTTCGGTGTCGAAGTGAAGCTGCCGTTGCGGTATCATGAGACGATTGCCTTTGCGTAGAATCTTCCCTCCGATCTCCAGGTCACACGTCAGAAAGCGGATTGATGCAGCGAACGCAGTCAAGCGGATGACTTCGTCCCAGATACTGTTCAACAGTGGACAAGTCTCCGTGTTAATCATGCGAGCTACATCAAGACTATCACCATCGACAAGCGATACAGTCTCAGCTCTGACAGCCGCGAAGAGATCTGGGTTGAACATCAGATATGAAAGGATCCAGAAAGGAGCTTTCCGAGTATTCCCGTTGATACTAGATGATACCAGCGATGGCACTTGTATTTGGGGGCTGAAAGGATATAAGACAATGCTCTTCACCTCCAACATAGTTGGAAAAGAAAACAGCCCCGTCGTCTGTTGAGATTCTAAGTCGGTTTATTTGTTCTTCAATCTTGAATATGAAACCAGGACTGGTCCGACCTTTCCTTTCTAGACGCGGCAAAATACTTTGCCATAGCGTCCTGTAACTTCTCTTTGGCATGTGTCATGTCTCCACTCAGGTATCTTGGATACTGATACATTGCCTGCCACGACCGACCTTCGAAGGCCATGAAAGTCTTCGTGAGGTCAGCCTCAATTTCCTCTAGAAGGCGCCCTAAGTATGCATTTGTACTTCGATGAATACGTCAGAGACCCATTGATACAATGAAACTTGGACTGCTCCTTTCGTGCTGTGCGAAGCAGTCGCACACCATCTTTCACCTCGAGCCAGTATAGATTGAGGGATCATCGAGTGCTTCAATCGCTCTAGGGCAGGGCGAACCAAGCCGTCCAGTCCTGACCCGGGCGTGAGCTGCTGTAGTTGGTAATCCCTGCAAAGCCTCACCAGATGCTTCGAACGCACAATGGTGGTGCCATCTGGAGCCAGATGCTCGGTTTGAAACGCTTTGAGAACGCCCTCTTCAGTGACTCCCACCATCCCCATCACTTCAATTGCGAAGATGTCATACGACAGAGATCCATTTTCGATCCAGTACGTCGACGTGACATCTTGTGGCTTCGTGAGGACATAACACTTCATCCCCGCTACAATTAGGGCGAATGGCTCCCGCGAGTCTCCGAAGTATGCTATATCGTCAGCCACGATGAGGGATCTTGTTTGCGGTACAAGGGAAATACCTCGCTTCAGACAAGAGCTTGCTTGAGTTCTTGAAAAAGGAGTTGAGATGACCTGTCGAGTGTCAGACGTCAAGAGCTTGGCCACTTTGCCTCATGCCCGGGTTTGGGCACAGCATGGGTACCAGTGACAGGAATCCAGTAGGGATATTCTTACCGATCGGACGGGAATAGCCATGGAATGATTGAGAATCTAGCGAATCTCCAAAGGAGAAGCAGGAGAGCAGAAAAACCTAGCAAAACAAAACGAGCATCTTGCGCCACCATGTCGGCTACGAAGCAGAGGTGTCGAAGTCCCATAGTCGCGTGGTGAGCAGCAGGAGGGAAAATTGATGAAAGGTCCGCGCACCGGCACCAGTTCTCGGCAATGATATGGGAAGGCAACAACTGAGTAGGGAGGGCATAATCTCGAGACCAATCGTTCTTGATGCTCACTTATCTCGTCACAGGGGCCAGCAGCGGCGTTGCAATTTCCAATGTCCTGTCGATCGATCTAAAAATACATTCAGAACGCTTTTGCAAGGAAGTGACAAGGTTCTGGCGATGAAGTGCCTCGGGCGCGGCGCTTACACATGTAGTTGAATCATTTTGCTGGTACTATCGTGAACAGGATACTGGAGATGGCCGGATGCTCGTAGCTCCGCAATGTAAAGCTGCCACTCTGAAGGAAGAATCATCCCAGACCGGTACGAAGCTCCTTGCTTAACAGAGGTCACGCTCATCGCTCAAATTTAACGTGTGCATTAGTGAAGTCCAGTTACTGGGTGGAAAGGTTTCCCCATTTGAACAGGCCAGTTGTATCGCAACGTACAGCGCACAAGCATCCCGAAGTTTTCCTTGCAAGTGTATAAAGTTAGTTAGTAGTACCTTTCCTCCTAATTTGGCTGTCGTCTACAAATAAGAACGGATATTCGCAGGGGAAAAAACGGATGGTACAAGGCAACTTTTTATTTTTTTTTTAATTTTATAAGTAATATTTATAAATATTAACTTTTTAAAAATCTTTTACTGTTTATTATTATTTAATTAATATTATATATTAAGAATAGACTTATTATAAACTATATTAATATTTTTAAACTTAATTTTAATAAAATAATATTTATTTTTATAATAGTATATAATTATATAAATATTAAAGTTAAAATCTTAAAAACAATACCTTTAAATAGCTTATTTATTCTATTATATTATAAGGTATTTTTTTATTACTTAGGATTAAATCTATTTTAAAGTTATAATATAAAGTTTTATTTTTATAAAAAAGTTACCTTGTACTATTCGGTTTTTACCCTATACTATCTGGTTTTTGCCCTGCGAATATCCGTTCTACAAATTTACAAGAATCCTGGAGAGCACCCACTGTTTTCTCGAAAGTACTCGAAGCAGAGAAGCTGGGTACAGCTAACCCGAC